ACACCAAAGGCTTTTTTGAAAATAAGTCTTTACTATGTTGCTAGAACTTTTTGCCCAACTTCTTTATTTTTCGCTTTCTAATATATTTTTATCAGTGTATATATATGATTTTACATGTATGTCCTGCATTGAAATATGTTTAAACTAAACAATTTTTAGGCCTAATGGACTTAACTTTGCTTAATATCTAAAATTGACTTGTCTATCATTCAATCGAAATAACAAAATATTTACTGACTAAATAGATAACAGTGCAGATTCCATTTTTCTGTTTAACAAAAATCATAAAAATATTTTATTAGTTCTAGCTTTATACAGTAACACTTTAGGTACAATTAACATAAGTGATTTATAGAAATGATAATGACAAGTTTCATAAAATATTTTATTATTTCTAGTAGCTTTATACACTTTCAGTACATTTAACATTAATTTATAAGTTATTTATAGAAATGAGAATTCCACAAGACCTCTTTCTGCATAAAAAAATTCAGCAAAATTGGTTTCATTATTATATCTAACTTTTACCCATTATATTAGACATTAGAATTGAAACAGATCTATTTTCTTTTATATTATTACTATTAAATTATGTTAAAGGTGACATTAAAGAATGTAATTTATGCTGAATAAAGAATTGAATTGAATGACTATTGGTATAATAAGTATTACAGCATTTGCTTGATATCCTACAACAACAACAACAACAACAGTCTTTGTAATTATTGTCTGAACAAAGTGTTGTTTGTCCACACAGTGTTGGTATAATGCCCAGTGCACCTTTCATTGTATATCAAGAAAATGTGCCACAGGAATTACACCACAAAGTAAGGTGATAATAGGGATCTTTTTAGGGGCCAATTATTGACACAAGCTGACTTTTAACACTAGAGCCTGCAGGGTGTGAAATACCTGACGGTTTCCTTTCATACCAGATTAATATCTAGAGGGGGTCTATTTCTTCAATCCTTTGCTGAATCTGTGATGTAAGTAAGCATTACAGTGTAACGTTAGGTAACAATACATAAAATGATGATGTAATCTGGGCATTAGAGATAGTTAAATATACACTGCCTGTATTTTTTATGGTCTATTGCAAATGATGTGTGTCTAGAATGGCTTCATCAGAAATGACACTTTTATTGCCATCATCCTGTCCCAGGAAAAATAGTTTATAATTGACGAAGGAGTTTTTAATTGAATAAAAAATAACACACATGATATTTCTATTTTCAGTGCATGGAATATTAATAAAGAGTGTATTAAATATTAAAAGTGGTCACACAGATTGATTTCAGGAATTATTAGGTAAGTGTTTCCTATATGATTCAGTGACTTTTATTTTTTAATTGGGAAAGAGGGTGACCTTAGCCTCTTGATTTTGGGAAAAATTTATTTCTTAAATTGCTAATTGGGAAATAAAAAGCTAGTGTTAGTTCAGATTCTTGTGATAACTGTATGATTTTAAAGAAAATTTTGCATTGGGGAAGAGGCCTTTAAATAGGTCTCTGTTATAAATGTAATGTGAAAATTCATTGTAATTCTAAGTTCTTTATTTTCTTTAACTACTGTATATGCTAAAACAGAGATACAGTGTGAATGACTGTAGAAAGGATTTTATGATCAATCATAACCAGAGTGACTGGCATACTGCAACCTACGTAACCCTTGTATCCCTCTTATCCCTTGTCATGAGGGGGAGAACAATATTTGTGGTTTTGTGCCATATACATGTATAATTGACATATGATCTATTTTAAAGTCATGGTTCTACTCAGGTGAATGTAGGACAAATCCCCACCAGTTAAAACCCCATCACTCAAAATTTTATAGAGTGGACAAAACCCCACCACTACATTTCATAGAGTGGACAAAACCCCACCACTAAATTTTACAGAGTGGACAAAACCCCACCACTTCAGTTTTATAGAGTGGACAAAACTTTCTTGTAAATATGTTAAAAAACAAACAATTGTGCATCAGCAGAAACTCTAAATAATGTGTGAACAACTCATCAATAAGGAGTTACAGTTTGTAACACCTTTTTTGCAATCAAAACATCAATAAATAATCTGTTTTGTTCTTCAGGGATTAGGATTAAGTTTTTTGTGTACAGTTTGTAACACCTTATTTGCATATTGCACATGCAAGATGTACATGCATTGTTAATAAAATTGTTCATTCTTATATTACACAAATGTTATATTGAAATTGAAAAATTAAATGTGAAAAAATGTGTATATTATATATATTAGAATTCATCAAATCTTGCCCAATAAGTGATGGGGTTTTGTCCACTCTGTGAAATTTAGTGGTGGGGTTTTGTCCACTCTATAAAATTAAGTGGTGGGGTTTTGTCCACTCTATAAAATTTTGAGTGGTGGGGTTTTAACTGGTGGGGTTTTGCACATGTTCGTGCCTGAAATAATTCATGGAAGGAGCACTTTAGGTCTTCTTGCACCAATAAAGCTGGAAAGTCACATTAATATCATTATATGACTTTCACAATGTTTGATACAAATCAATCAATTAATTAAAGTAACTCTTGTTCAATTTAATGCAAAAGTAAATAATATGGTAAACTTATTGCATCTTTTCAGAATTGTCAGACAGATCAAGTAGAAGATGACCTAACATTAGCTGATGAATGGTAAGTGTTTAGACAATATGATTTACCTTAGTGTTGGTCTCAAGTGGCTTGTTAATCATTAGCTGGGTCATTTTAAAACTTATGCTCTTCAAGAAACCTTAAATAAACTTAGCATGACCTTTTTTCATCATTAAAAAATTAAACAACAACAACAAGAAAAACACCAAGAACTTACTGACCAGGACAAATATAATGTTCTCTTGTCAAAATTCTTGTAAAAATGCCAAGGTATTGTATCAACTTGATAAAGACTATAGTTTCATTGTATTGAAAATGGCCCCTAAATTGATATGCGTAAATCAGTAATTAACACCTATGTATAATTGGGCTGTAAAACCAATTTGTCCCTTTGATAATCATTTGTGGATGGAGAGGATTATAAATGCCAATGTGACGTAATATTGAAATGAAAAATGTGTGCATAACTTTGACCAAATGTGTGCATAACTTAGACAAAATATGTGCATAACTTTGACCAAATGTGTGCATAACTTAGACAAAATATGTGCATAACTTTGACCAAATGTGTGCATAACTTAGACAAAATATGTGCATAACTTAGACAAAATATGTGCATAACTTTGACAAAATATGTGCATAACTTAGACAAAATATGTGCATAACTTAGACAAAATATGTGCATAACTTTGACAAAATATGTGCATAACTTTGACAAAATATGTGCATAACTTAGACAAAATATGTGCATAACTTTGACAAAATATGTGCATAACTTAGACATAATATGTGCATAACTTTGACAAAATGTGTGCATAACTTTGACAAAATGTGTGCATAACTTTGACAAAATATGTGCATAACTTTGACAAAATGTGTTCATAACTTTGACATAAAAAATATGTGCATAACTTTGACAAAATATGTGCATAACTTTGACAAAATGTGTGCATTAAACTTTGACAAAATGTGTGGATAAATTTGTCAAAATGTGTGCAGAACTTTGACAAAATGTGTGCATTAAATTTTGACAAAATGTGTCCAGAACTTTGACAAAATGTGTGCATTAAATTTTGACAAAATTTGTGCTTTTTACTTTGACAAAATGTGTGCGTTTTACATAACAAAGAACTGTAAATTTTGTTGATCATTGTAAATGTGTACTTTTAGGAATGATGTCAGACTAATAAATACAGTAGAGAGTGTCCATATCCAAAAATGCAAAATTTATCACAGTTTTCTGACTTAAGATTAAAGTGTCCCCTAACAAGGGTATTATATTTATAAAGGGTTTATCATCATCATAGCAAGATAACATAGAGATAGGGTACACAGATAAAGGGATACATAAAAGGAGACCCCAACTGATATCAGTGAATTCTTTTATCAAGATAAGAACATTGGTGTCAAACTGACTTCATTGTGTCAATAAAATTGTCAAATAATGATGTGTGAAATCTTCAAGTTTCATCAGAAAGTTTTTTAAATCTGTGAAAAATGGGAAAATGTTTGTGTTTTGTTTTTAACAGAGATTTAAAAAAGTTTTTATGCTTTGGAAAAGGGAAATATCACTATAATGTAAGTGTTACATTGTAAGTGTTTCTAAAAATAATACATATAATGTATAATATATATACTAGAAAATAAAATAAACAAACTTCATTATTCACTTTTTAGTTTAGAAGGAAGTTTGTTGAAAAGATTAAAAGTAAAAAGATTTTTTGCATTACAGAATGATGCATTAAAAAAACTTTGAAAACTGCTGGATAATTCTAATAGATTTTTTTAATAACTAAAAATACCTGCAATGAGAAAAAAAACTACCAAAGCAGTTAAATAACACTTTTCCTTTTTATGTATTTTTATAAGTGAGATTCTTAACTTCATTTAATGCCTTAAATCTTCTAATTCTTCTTTCAAATAATTACAAACATAATTTATATTATTTATCACATATGTATGTACATGACTTTTGTATTCCTCTCTTGAAAATAAACTGGCCTTCAAAGTGGTTCCATAAAAAAATAAAAATAAACGGGCCTAAACATGGTTATTAAAAATAGAATTAAAAAAAATGTAAAAATAAACAGGCCTAAAATGTGGTTAAAATAAAAATAAGAAATAAACGGCCCTAAAATGTGGAACCAAAAAATAGTAAAAATATTGTAAGTGTTTACTATTTTATCTCATTCAATATTTTTTAATGAAATTGTAATTGATTGTATTACTTTGTAACCATTATGTTAAGGTTGATTCTCAAAAATTTCTTCATAAAATTTCTCTATTGTATAACACATACTGTATTATAAACATTGTACAAAAACAGAATAAATGCCCCTTTGCTGATTGTGATGCTCTTGTATATTCATTGTTGATGTTGTTTTATTTTTCAGTATAGAGTGTATACATGACAGATAGCTGGGATCTGATTCTTCATATAAACTGTATCAGCTGATATATGGAATATTAAAGGTACTTGCAACACAAATATTATCATATAGCCTGCTGTTGGCATTCAGTTACACCCATAGGACCAGTGTAGACCAAGATTATTTGGTATACTTTTACCTAAATGATGTCTGATCATGGTCTGCACTAATTCATTAGTACATTTTGTAAATATTTTTTTTAGGGGGTCCGTCACTGTGGCTGAGTGGTTAAGGTCATTGACTTCAGACCTTTTGCCTCTCAACTCTGTACGTTGGAGCAACTTCAGCGTTTTTGTATTTTTTCATGTGAGAAAGCTATCCAGCCAGCTTATAGAACATTCGGTTCTACACTGGCCCCACAACCGTGCCTTAAAAGTTAAATAATTCACAAAGGGGCACCTGAGGCCTTCCTCCACCAGTAAAGCTGGAAAATTTAGAAGCCATAAGACCTATACTCATTACTGTGTCATAAAACCCAAATATATATATAAAAAAATTTTTTTTGTAAATTCTTTCTTAAGAATAATAGTAGTAATTGATTTTGTCTAGATTGAAAGAACAATATTTTGTCTTAAAGTTTCAAGCCTGTGAAGAGTTTTTACTGTTTTTAAGATGGTATTTAAAATTTATATATGAATAATATTTGAAAATGAAATTAATAAACAATCAGACAGTTAGCAAAATCTCTCATTATATGTTAATATGTTTAGTTGTCATTGTTGTATGGTGAACACAATCTATACAAGGATAAGTAAAGGGAATCAAGAATCAAGGATTTGTATTAATTTATTTTATATGTCGTTAGATTACTAATTAAAGTAATAAAATACCCTTTTATTTCTTTACAGACCTAAATGAGTCTTATAATATCACCGAAGATGGCGTCAAAAAGACCGTCTGCTGCAGACACCGTTTTCCCGCCAAAAAAGAGAGCCCTCTATGAGCACATGAAGCTTCATGGGATTGAGAAATATTCATCCAATCAGATCGCAGCAAATGGCATTGTAGACTATCAAGAAAACCTTGGCATGTGTGGATTTAAACTCCCTGTTAACATTGTGATTGCCGAGTTGGAAAATTTTTCACGCACTCGAAGCGACTCTTTAAATTCACACGTGTCATCGAATAGTGATAACACTGAAACTGGGTCAACAGGATCGAGGGAAACTTCACCATGTACAATTCAGTCGATGTTTGATCATCAGACGCCAGAACGGAATCCAATAAGCTCCCTTGACGGTTTAAAACCTGACATTTCAAAGCCGCTCTTTCCGCCTAGTGACAGTGACAGTTCGATAGTGGGCAGCGAGGGACAAATAAGCCCAGATAACTCCATTACTGATGAGCATGATAACAGTAAAGCAGACGTATATGGAAGTGAAAAACATATTCCTAGTGAACAAGTGGTAGACTATAAAAACCTTCAAAGAAAACAGACGGTCGTAAATGAATTCAGAAATAATGAAGTTCGGCAAGAGGAAATGGAGCATAATCATAAGGGTAATTCCGTGAAGCAGGCTCAGTCAGAGGTTTACATGGGACCTATGGTGTCTTTACTAAATCGTTTCAATGCTGAAGCCGTGCAGAACAAAATCCATCTCAAGATCAAGGAACAGTTATCACTTGATGAACTAAGAAATGTGATGCCATCAAATTTACCAATAAGACATTATGATCAGTCCAAAATATCTTCGTTAAACCTCATGCCGGAATCTGTTCCATCTAAAATATTAACTGAAAAACTTTACAAAAACAAAGTTCAGAGTAAAACAAGGTCGTGCCACATATGTAATAAAGAGTTTTCAACAGTTGCCAGTCTTCATACTCACATGAAAGGGCATGAAAATAAGTCAATACCATGTTGGGTGTGTAAGGAAAAGTTTCAGTCAGCCGAGAGTCTTAATGCCCATATGAAAACGGAGCACAAAGGAGAGAATCCTTACAAATGTGAGCACTGTTCAAGGGAGTTTACGCAGTTTAATAATCTAAGACGGCACATGCGCGTACATAGAGAAAAAGTATTTAAGTGTAACTTGTGTAACCGAGAGTTCAACGAGGAATTTTATCTGAAAATGCACATGGGAACGCATACAGGGAAGCGCGTGTATAGCTGCGGAGTTTGTGGGGCAGGTTTCCCCTCTAGTCATGATCTTAAAGTGCATGTCAAAACTCACTCTCCATCCTTGCTGCATACATGTGATGTGTGCGGTAAGTCATTCAGTAAAGCGTGCGTGTTACGCCAACATAAAAAGGGTCATTCTGGGGAGCGCCCCCATAAGTGTGATAAGTGCGAGAAAACATTTATTCATCGTCACCATCTTACTATGCATATGAAATCCCACGTCGACGAGAAACGGCTCAGCTGCAATATATGCCAGAAAGAATTCTCGCAGCACAGTCATTTATATAAACATTTAAGAGCCCACGAGGATATGAAAAAATATGGACTGGACTTAAACCCTACCCATAAAATGAAAAATGTCGAGTTAGAAAGTAACCCAAAAAAGGACTTGTCCCAAGGTCAGCAGATCAGTCAAAGGTCGTCACCAAAGGTTGTAACAACAGACAATGTTTCTTGTAATGAATCTGAAGGTATAAATAAACATTCTATAGATCGATTAAACATTATAGCTAGTAAAACCCCAAAACAAAGAAAACATAGTGTTCAACAGGATTATCAATATCAGAATTCTGGACATGTAAATGAGCCGTTGTCAGCGCCATCAGTAAGTAATCATCATCATGGGTTACCATCAATGGCACAGTCGTTCACACATCAGATGGGTAGTAGACTTCCCAGCATGCAATATAGTGGAGAAATGTCCCAAAACTATCTGCCTGGTTCCCCTGCTCAGTCATTTTCACCAATGTTCAATCCACTGCTGAGAAATGGGGCACCAGCATGCTAACATGTTCAGTCATACAACCAGATTACAGGAAAATTATTCCGAGAGATGAGTCGTACTACAACACTTTACATGATGCAATACAATGTCCCAAATACCCTTGGCTTCAAAAAGGTCACGTTGAAAATCTAATTAGAAATGAGCAAAAATTTTGGATTTATGAAGCCAAAGATCATACAAGGAGTTGAAAGACTTGAAAAATGACCAAAAAGTTTCATTGAGAAAGGGTCAAGGTTTGGACGTGTAGATGTGCAGTGGAGATGATGATAACAACATGAAGTAGATGTAGGAAAGCAGTAAAGAACTGAGCCAAGACAAACAGGGAATTGCTTATACGGGAAACTTAATGACTTGGTGTAAAACAAACAACGTTGAAGATAATGTAAAACAGGGAAATATTATGTCAGAGGAACATGAAATTGCACAAGAATTGCTGAAAATGTCGGCTGGAACTAAACAGACTGAGCAGTTTGTAGAAGATAATATTTCTAATACAGCAACTGATTCAAAATCAGCAAAAGAAGTAAATATGAAAAAGGATAATGGTCATGCAACAGGACTAAATTTTTCACACTGTGTTAATGACATTATTAAAAGAACTGTAAGGAATTCAAAGTTTTCCTTTGAGAATACTTATATGTCCAAATTACCTAATATAGCAGCAAATGATGTCACTCCATTACACAATGAATCAATGCTTAGAGGTGAGTTAAGTGTAGTTATTCCAAAAAGTTCAGACCTATTAGATAAACGGGAAAGAAATAACTTTGAAGACATGTCAGTTCAGGGAGAAACTATAGCAAGTGACGAATCAGGACTGGCAGGTGAAAAGGTTAACAGTGAATCACAAGCTAGTCCTCTTCAAAAACTAGAAATGTTTGTTACGTCAGAAAAGAATGATTTTAACAAGGTTGAAGCTATTGTGAATGATTCAAGAGATCCCGGGCATAATTTCCATGGTTACTTTACAGAGGAATTTGAAAGGTTGGAACATGACATTGATACACAAGAAAAATTGGAAAGTGATTATTTAGAAACTAGTGAGAAATTTGAAATGTTATTGAAAGAAAAGAACCAAGTCAAGGAATTCCAAAAACAATCAGTGATTATTGAAGAGACTTTAGAAATGAGGCTTAAGAAAATAAAACAGTTTGCTGATATAGGTATGAAGTTTGGGAATACATTAAATGATGAATTTGAAAGGAAAGCAGCTGACGAAGAAATTGATGAGAACAAAAGCCTTGAAGGTATTACTTATGATAAGAGAGTTACAGAAAATGAGAATGTGGAATTAAGTGAAAGAAAAGTTGTAAGGGTAAATGTAAGTAGTGAAATCGATGAGGCTGGAACTGAAAGGAGAGTAGACATGTGTGACAAAAGGATTGATGATACTGACAATTTTGATAATGTGTCTGGTTATTTTAATGACAGTCTTGAAGACAGACATCTTCAAATTGTAGAGAATGATTCTTTTAGAGGAAAGGAAATTGAAGACATAAAAGAAAGCAATCTCGATGATAATGATGATGGTAATGAAGGTGACCAGGGGCAAATGGTAGAAGATTCTGTTGAAGGAAAAGAAATTGAATGTACAAAACAAATCATTGCTGATGATGAAGATAATGATGTTGATCATGATGATGATAGTAATAAAGGTGATGAGGAGCAAATATATAGACTTAGAGAAATGGAGGAAAGTAAGGACATGTTGAATGAACCAAATGAAGGATTTGTATTTACTGAAAATGAATTTCTGAATCATATTTCCGAGATGAATGGTTCTAGCAAAGCAAATAAGGAAGACGGGGTTGAAATTGTTGATGAATATAAGGAAGAAAAAGATGAAGAAAAAATTGTTGGGTTCGAGAATGGAAAAGGTTCTGTTCAGACTATGACAAAGCAACTATGGGAAGAGAATTTAAAGCATGGAAATGATTTAATACATCAGTTGAATAAGTTACAGTCTGATCCAAATGAATTAAAATTCAGAGAGAAGTGTTTAAATTCAAACAGAAGTGAGAATGAGGCAATGGATCTTAGAACTGAAGGCAGAATGAACAAAATAAATGAAAGTAAAGTCTGTGAAGTGAACTCTGTACAAAATATATCCCAGGAAAATTTGCCAATGGATTTGAGTTTGTCCAGAAGGTGGAGTGATGATACTGGGAAACAGATTGCTAGAGATGGAGAATTTAAAGTGGACGGGAAGTACGCGGGGAATAGTGAAAATAGATCGCCTATGTTGTTGACTTGTGGTTTGTGTAGTAGAAAATTTGACGACATTCATCAATTGCGGTCACATCAGATAGAACATGCTAAGGATATTGGGTACAGTTGTAAAGTGTGTAAGAAGTTATTCACTAGTGCATTTGAACTGCAGTGTCATATGATAAAGCATTCTGAAATACCTGTTCAAAGTCAGATTGACCCAGGTGTTAGCAATGGTTTGAAATGTGTTGGAAAATCTGTATTAGGTGCTAGTGAGCAAAGTGACAGGGAAAATCAAGATTTGACATTGAGCGAAGTTAGCCAAATGAATGAAAATGGAGAAAAGCAGTTCAGTTGTAAATATTGTGATAAGATTTTTGTACAAGAAGAACAGTTGACCGAGCATGTGAATGTTCATTATGGAAGTAAAAAACCTTACGTTTGTAATATCTGTCGAAGAGCGTTTGTACATCGTCACAACTTAAACCGTCACAAAATGTCCCATAATTCAAAGTCGTACAAATGCGATGTGTGTCATAGAACTTTTAAAGAATCATTTTATCTACAGATGCATAAGAAAACCCATGAAGAGGAGAATTATCGTAAGTGTCAAATTTGCGGAGAGAACGTTTGCAAATCGGAAATTTGGCAACACACACATCAACATCTTGGGACGATTACTGAAAACCCGACATACGAACAAATTGGTCATACGGTTCAGGAGATACTTCATGAACAGGACTTAAACAAAGGTGGCGCTGCGCCGAAAAATTATGTAAAAGGAAATTTGCCAAAAATTTCAAATGTGTCAGAATATGGGGACGATTTGAGACAAACAAAGTCAAATGGTTTTTGTCTGAACGATAAGGCTCTAAACTTTAGTAAAGAGAATATTGAAAACCGTAATGTTACCAAAAATGTAAATACTGACATAAAACATGCAAATGTTTTGCAAAACAAAGAAAACTCGTGGGACAATTCATCAGTTTTGTCTAAGATAGGATTTGAAGAGGGTTCTAGAAATTCTAGCGGTAAGATGTTTCAAATGTTTGAGTGCCATATTTGTAAAGTAGTTCTAAGTACAAAACATGAGCTGGACAATCATATGGGAATACATAGTGGTCTGAGACCCCATGTCTGTAAACTTTGTGGCAGGGCTTTTAAAAAGAGTAAAGGTTTGAAGACACATGAAAAGATTCATTTGGAGTCTTCGTTTAAAGTTTAAACTTATTTTTGGTTTACCTCATTGTTGCATGTAATCAAGGTTTATCAAAAAGTTTGCCAAATATCTGTCTTGTTTTGGTACAGCACCTTTACTTACTAGAGTTTTTTAAAGCTACTAAAGATAAAACCCTACTTTTAAAGAAGAGCATAATATTTTGTTGCTGAACAAAACAAAAATTAATTTATATCATGTGTGCTGAATAACAAAGACATTCTACGTAACTGTTAAATTTTTTTTGAGAATCAACCATAAGGTTGAAGTAACAGCATAATTTTACTGTTTATAAAGTTTAGAATATTTCTTAAAATATAGCTTTAAACCCTTTTACTTAACCTTAACTTTCACTGCTGTTTTGATCTATGGTCTTGTCCAGTTATATCTTTGGCAGTGTTTTTCTCTGTTTCAAAGGATTTTAAAGATGAAAAATATTTGAAATTAAGATAAATTAAAGGAACTCCACTGAGGTACAATAGCGTAACTTAATAAAATTAAAACAACCGTTACACTTAAATTTGAAAACCAAGCAATAGATAATATAAATATACACAGTATTAAATTGATAATCGATTTTTATGCGATTTTTAGCCGATATCCTTGCAACTGTTTTCATTTTTTGCGCCAATTTGTGCTATAGAAATAGTTACTTCTTGAAAACGGAGTGAGCAAATGATCTGAAATTTTGCGCACCAGTAAATGGTTCAGACGTACAGCTAGTTTTACAAAAATCTTGAAATAATTATTAATATTTTCGTTCCTTTCACATCAAAAAACCTCAGTGGAGTCGCTTTAAAATCAAAATGAAGTATATTGACAGCATGAAGGAGTGATATGGTTTTATAATTCTCATCTACTAAATCTAGCTTACTGCTGCAGCAGTGCTTGTTGTCCACTTATACACAAATAGTCAAAAAAGTAGAAAATTTGCTCAATTACATATATACATGTCTATAGTCATTAAAAATCATTGCGCTCTTTTCTTAACACATGTTTGACAAGTTTTACTCGTCATTTATGTATCTTTCTTAACACATGTTTGACAAGTTTTACTCGTCATTTATGTATCTTTCATGTCATTGTAGAAACAATTTTTTTTTCATTTTTCTATTGTTGTTTTGTTGTTGGTTTTTTTTTGTTATTGTTTTTAAAGTTGTAAATATTCTAGTCTTTTAGGTAATTCAAAAGAAATCATTGTGTTATGTACTTGTATGTAGTCTTTGTATCTGCACATTGTCTTCACTGAATTTTTATTTTTTTTTCATTTTTGTACATTTATTTTATTGCCCTCAAAACTTACTGAATATCATAAGGTTTACACATTCACATTTGCTTTGGTCATTTTAATTTCCACAATAATTGCTTTGTCTGGATTTAGAATATACCAGATTAGTTTTCTCCTATCACCAGGAGCAGATATTCAGGTTTATTACATGCTTTTCAGTGGTGTATAGAAATATATCTGTGAAATGTAATCCAATAATTTCACTGTTTTGAAATAGTGATAATGTCAATTTGATATTTTTCACTGTTTTGAATTTAAGCCCGTTACATTGTTTCAGTGAACAAAATCGAGTTATGGCCACTTTTCTGAATTTAATCTTGTATTTTAGAAGGGCCCTTTTTCAGAAATAAGGAACCTTTAAATAATCTACAATATCATCCTTATAGAATCAATTTTCATGTTTTCCCATTAATTTCAAATGGCATTTAGGCCCACCAAGACAGTTGCTATTTACTGTATGTCAATATACATAAGTTATTTTTTTAATTTTTTATTTGTTTAAAAAAAAAATGTTTTTTGTTTTACTTTTTTTAATGCCTGCATAATCTTTTTTTTTAGTTTTTACTGTTAAAAAGTATTTGAGTTTTTAGAAGAGTACATGTACATGATTTGAGATTTTAAATCAGGTTTGTGTATGATAGATTAATTAATCAATTTATTTCAATAATTATACTGATGATATAGTGATAAAAGTAACTAAAAGCAACCAAAAATATTGTAAGTAAATTGTATGTTTACAATTTTTTTGCACACATAATTGATAGAGTCATGAAATATTATCAATTTTAAAGGCACATTATGCCTCAGAAATAAAAATATTTTTACTTCATATGGAAGTACAAACATGAATTTCATAATGTTTAAATAATGTTTATTAGAGCATTTAAGATGCTGGTTACCTGAAGAAAGTAGTGATAAATGTGAAATAATTTGTTGTAAATGTAGAAAAATGTATACGAAGAAGTATTTTGACTTCCATACAAAATACAAATTCACTATAACTGTACTTATTGTCAAAAAGCGACAGGTGAAAAAGATGGGTTAGGTATTTTTGGATACTATGACAGTACACCAAAATTAAACAGCTTTTGAGAAATAAAAGCATTTCTGAGGCATCATGGGCCTTTAATGTAATTATTCTGTCTTCTAAAATAAGCCATGGGAAAAGGGGGTGGGGAAAACATGCAAAATATCAATTAAAATGCTGTTATGGTAATCATATTCTAAAAGTTACAAAATGAAACCTATGTGGTAGATGGATAACAATAAAGACTTTTAAGAATTTTCCTGAAGTTTAGGGTTTGAATGCTCCTAAAAACTCTTTTTCTAAATAAAACTGTTAAAATTGAGACGTTTTAGGAATTTTGGTATTTTAAATTTCTACCCAAGTTAAAGTGATGCGGGTTTTGTCAGTCTTCTACTAAAGACAGTGTTTGGTTGACATTTTGACCTTTCCAAATAAAAAGTTATGGAAGCTTTAAACTAGAAGAAATAATGAATGTAACCCAACTTTTTTTCTAAATTTTTGACAAGTTTTTCTTCATACTTGAATGTTAAAAATGTAATTATGACTTGTTTTTGATGACTTTCTTAAAATGCAAACACTGCACAATGTTTTTTAAGCTTACAAAAATTCAGGGGTTTTTATATTTCACATTCCTGCCAAAATGTCACTTTGCTTCTATACCAAATCTCTCATAACATTCCTGCCAAAATATCATTGTACATCTATACATTTTATATCTGTCTCGAGTATGTTTTTTGTGTCGCCTCTACGGAGTAGTGGCGACATATAGGGATCACTTCTCCGTCGTCTGTCTGTCCGTCTGTCTGTCTGTCTGTCTGTCCGTCTGTCCGTCCGTCCGTCACAAAACTTGTCCGGACTACTCCTCATAAACTACTGGTGCAATTTCATCCAAACTTTACAGGAATGATCAGTACCAAGTCTAGTTGTGCATATTGTCAGGATTTTCCGGTTCAATGATTTTTAGCTCGACTTTTCTATGAAAAGGGGAGCTATCCTACTCGCCCCGGCGTCGGCGTCGGCGTCGGCGTTGGCGTCACACCTTGGTTAAGTTTTTCGTACCACCCCACTTTATTTCAGAAGTATTACAAGTATGGCTTTGAAACTTACCATACTTGTTCACCATCATAACCTCCATCTACAGACAAGAGTACATAACTCTGTCAAGGTTTTTGACAGAATTATGGCCCTTTTTTGACTTAGAAAGTGTATTGAGCTTGGTTAAGTTTTTTGTACCACCTCACTTTATTTCAAAACCATTGGAGGTATTGCTTTGAAACTGACCATACTTGTTTACCATCACGACCTTCATCAACAGACAAGAGGACATAACTCTGTCAAGGTTTTTGACAGAATTATGCCCCTTTTTGACTTAGAAAATACATTGAATATGGGTAAAATCCACTTATTGCCTTAACCCTTTGAGATATTGCTTTGAAACTTTTAATGCTATTTCACATCATTACCCCCATCTGTACGCAAGAGAAGGTAACTCTGTCAAGGATTTGTTTTAAAAATTAAGGCCTTTTATCGACTTAGAATCTTGGTTAAGTTTTTAGTACCAGTCCACTTTTTGACTGAACTGTTTGAGATATTAATTTGAAAGTTGGAATACTTGTTTACAATCATGATTCCCAAACATGTCCAGGAGAAGGTAATTCTGTCAAAGATTTTATTTGAATTATGGCCCTTAACTGTCAATGTTTTGTATTATAGGCAAGCACTAAAAAACTTAAAAAATCTAAAAAAAATTCATTCCTATCCACTTGTTCACTTTACCATAAATTATGTCATATAAACATTGCTGTAATATTCAAGGGTATCAAACAACTAGTTATTTTTCTCTTTTTGTACTTGAAATTAAAATCAGTAGTATATGCATATTTCACATTTTATCTCGCCTATTTGATTGGTGGACAAGTGACCAGCTACAGTGTTCAAGGGTATCACACAATTCAGTAAAATAATTCTTCACTAAATATCTTAATGCTCATGGCCATTGTTCACTTTAAAAATACAGAGATTCTTGTATTGCCTTTTACTGCAAAAACTTTTTTTATTGGCAAGCAATAAAAAAGTCGAGCGCGCTGTCTTACGGACAGCTCTTGTTGTCAGAGTTATGGCCCTTTAATAATTTTTAATTTTAAAGTTTGTCCGGACTACTTCTCTTATACCACTAATGCAATTTCAATGAAACTTTACAGGATTGATCTGTAGCTCAAGTCCTTGCGCATATTGCACGGGTTTTCCGGTTGAATGATTTTTGGCCGAGTTATGGCCCTTTGATAAAAAGGTTTCTTTTTCTGTGTGTTGCCAGATACACAAAAGCTTGTCCGGACTACTCCTCATAAACTACTGGTGCAATTTCATCCAAACTTTACACGAATGATCAGTACCAAGTCTAGTTGTGCATATTGTCAGCATTTTCCGGTTCAATGATTTTTGTTTGAGTTATGGCCCTTTAAAAAATTTTATTTTTAAAGTTTGTCCAGACTACTTCTCTTATACCACTTATGCAATTTCAATGAAACTTTACAGGATTGATCTGTAGCTCAAGTCCTTGCGCATATTGCACGGGTTTTCCGGTTGAATGATTTTTGGCCGAGTTATGGCCCTTTGATAAAAAGGTAGTTTTTTCTGTGTGTTGCCAGATACGCAAAAGCTTGTCCGGACTACTCCTCATAAACTACTGGTGCAATTTTATCCAAACTTTACAGGAATGATCAGTACAAAGTGGTTAGTCTAGTTGTGCACTGTCCGTCTGTCTGTCCGTCTGTCACAAAATTTGTCCCAACATGAAATTGGCCATCATGAGGCGACACATGTGATTACTGATCGCTCTTGTTTTTCTATTTGTACATCTGTATATATTTGTACATATTAGGAAATTCTTGACAAAAAATGCCATAGTAACTTTAACTGTTACGTAATTATGTTGTATATATAGAAATAAATCTGAAATTTTAATTTCAAAAGGTTTGAGTTTATTTTCTATTCTGAGACAATTTTATTTGTTAACTAGATATTGGGATCACCATTAGTGTTTTTAGCTCACCTGTCACAAAGTGACAGGGTGAGCTTTTGTGATCGCTTTTTGTCCGTTCGTATTGTAAACTTTATTGTTCATAAGGGGACACATCCGACACGCGGAGTTCTAGTACATACTTGAGGTTTCTTTGAATGCTTGTTATTTATAATTTAAGATGAGGCCATGTTGTAAGACCTTTATGATACAGAAACCAATATTTATGGAATTATGTTCCTTTATAACTCCTTTATAATTTCCGTTGAAAATTGGTTATTGATAGAGAATTTTGAAAACTATCAAGTGACATTTTACTCATTATTGGCATGCACATCTGTAAGACAAGGGACATAACTAAGGGATCAGTGTCGAGAGTTATGTCCCATTTCAAAGGAAATATAATTGCCCCCCAGCTTTTAGGAAAAATGGGTCAGACAGAAATGCCCGTCTTGCATTTGTTAACAAAAATATCATGAGGCTGTGATGTTATGAAATTTTCTACCGTTGACCATTAATGTTGAAAATTTAAGTAAGTTGGTAAACAGGAAGTGGATGAGCGACAGACATGAAATCAAATCCCACAGTATGGGACGATACGTTAATGTTGTAAACCCAATATTTAGCAGCTGTGATAAGTAGTTGCTGAGAAAACTGTTACAAAAAAATTTTCCTCGCCCACATGGCCTGA